TCTCTCTAGCCTATTTTGCCTTCCTCATCAGAAGACTGTCCAGTCTGGATAGCTGTGAATGAAGATGGTATCAGCATACTGGATTATAACACAATGGTATGTTGAGGAACACACTTTCAGAGGAATACCTTACCTAGCACAGAAAGACATTCCCCTGAGTCCAGTGAAAGTCACTAACAGTTTGTCTTTAACTTCAAATGTGAATTATTATTATTAGAAGTTAGTTTGTAAAAGTCAGAGATGAGGGAAGGCAGTGTTATGTTTGTGTTATGAACACTCCACAGACAAAGGAAAATTACAGCTGCAGCTCAAGGTAGGGCAGCAAACATGTTCATACATCTTGCAAAATCTCAGTGGTGTGTGCTTTACGACCACCATCTGGAATATAACAAAATCTGTACTATGAAGTAGTGAGGCCTCGAGCACACCAGGAGAAAACTAGAAATGCAATTCTCACTTGAGCTTTCTCTGCCAGCTCTTACCTTTAGAGCCATCTACTGCCCTTCACTGCTGGAGATCTGGTGTTCTTGCAGGAAGTAGCAATATAAACTAATATATTAGTTTAAGGTAGACATTTGGAGGTTTTTACAGAACTATGACTTTTTCAAACTCTGTCTGCAGCATTTGAAGGTCTCTTATTCATACTCTTCTGTGCTGACCTTTGGAGGCTGTCGAGATGACTTCATGATTGTAGTCAGTAAAATGAAAGAAAGAAGTTCTGGAAAAAATAGCACTGAAAAACTCCTCTTCACAATGGCAATTCCAAAGGTAATTACAAATGAAAAGTGAGTTTCTTTCCAGCTGGCAGCATCAGGGCTGGGTGTTTTGTACAAGCCCTGGGGACTGGTACTTGTGGCTGCTGCACTAGCTATGTGTATTCAACAGATCCTTTGTAAGCTGGAGCCTTTCAACAAGAGACTTACTCTACCTAACTCTTAAAGACAGGGCTTCATTTTAAAACTGAACAATTCCATGGGAGAAGGCCATTTACAAAAGCCATGCGGTCAATAGGTCCTGAAAATCAAAGGGCATTCTTACCTCTAATTAACCTACAGTTAATCATTTTCTCTTTTCCCCAGATTGTTGAAGCAACACTTCTGATTGCCAGCTACATTAACTATCGTTCGACTCCTTCACTGCTGTGTTCCACACAGCCCCCACGAAGCCAAACACCTGCTAAGAAGCCCTGGGAGACTGAAAATCGGTGCTTTTTTCCTTCCGTGCCCCGAAGCACAAAGGGGCCCACCCTGCTCTAAGGGCTTGTTCCACATGAGCTGATTCTGTTGGTTATATACCACAGATTAATGCAGGCTCTGATTCCTTTTCCATAATAATAGAAAAAGTTCCTTAGAGGTAGAGGCAGTGTACTTTCTCTTAAAAAAAAAGTTGATTTGGGGGACTGTGCGGGAGTTTCCTTTCTGTGACACATTCCATCCAAAATACCATTCCTCAGGTCATTTGCCTGCACAGTGCTCCAGTCATTACAGCTGCACTCATTCTTCCATCTCCTACTGTACTGCCTTGCTTTACAAGTACATATATTTTCTTTGATCCCTCCCATTTTCAGATTTCAAACTACATAAACTTTTGTGTTATTGCTCAGACATGAAAGAAAGACATTGCTAAGAAGGAAGAGGAATTAAACTCACAAGAATAATTCTGATGCAAGACAAGGGTGATTTCAGACTTGAAATAGTGAGTATAGAATTAGAGTTCAGCAGTGCTTAAGAGTATTTTCAACTTTAAATAAAGATAGAGGAAGCCTAGGGTCTTTTCATGTTGAGTACTGGGAACAGCTGGGACCTGGACAGTGTCAGAGAATGCCCTGGCACCTACAGGACCGGTGCATTTTAGAAACTGACACTGTTCTATGCAATAGATGAACATTAGATTGCTGCTGCAGGGCAGGGCTCCATGTGTCACATGCTCCACTCTCAGACAAGCACTTTCTAAGACTTTGATAACCACTGTTGTAGATGTGTTTGGAGCTGCACATTATCTCAGAAAAAAGAAGACAAGGCAAGCAAATTTTGTACTTTTTCTGTCTTTCAGCAACTAGGACAGATCTTCCCAGACAAGCTCTGCCATTCTGACTTGACAGAAGCTGCTTCTTTTAAACTCCTGCTTCCTTCATGTACCATAAACAAGGAGGAGGTAGTCAGCAATTGTGTACTCATGTTCTTCTGACTTTCCTAAAGAATGTTGGTAGGTTTGATTTTTTTTTTTATCTGTTTCAAAGTGACTTCATTATGAGAAGGTTATTGAATTTTAAACAAATAAAGGAAAAATATCAATTCTTCATAAAAAATCTAAATCTTGGTTTAAGTTCAGCTATTTTGAGAAGCATTAAAAAAGCGAAGGAAGAATAACTGCACTTTGAAAAGTACCACATTCAACTTCATAATAATTATGCATTCATGGGCAGCTTTCCCAGATTAATACAGTATTAATCCAACCACTAGACCAAAGTCAGTAATAGCAAACCAGTTATTTGCAAATAAACAAACCAACCATACCAGTGTTTTTCTCCTTAGTACCTGCCACCAACCTTGACACATCCAACTAATGCACATGGGGGAGATGATAGATCAAGAAGGATTTTTTTCGTGCTTATGATGGGGGTGCAAGGCCACAGACTAAAAGAGAAGAGCAGGGGGCAGACAAAAATTGTTCTAAGCAATCCCTCATCAGCATCTCTGTAATATAAAACAAAAAAACCCAAACAAAACAAACCCAACCCCAAACCGTCCTCTGGTGAGTGATAGAAATAGTATGGCAGACCTAAGACAGGAAAAGATTCTATGAACAGTGACCTGATTTGCACATACTGTAATGTACCCACTTGTTATGAATTTAAAGACCATCCCTTGAAGGTACAGAGAAGGGTAGAAGTTTTCTGAGCCGAAAATAACTTTAAGATGATATTTAGTAATTTTTGTTTTCCCTTAGATACTTTCCAGTCTCTCTATGTCCTGATAGTAGCTTGTATTTCCCCTCTCTCTCTCACAATTATCTTAGTACAGCTGTGTCAGATAGAAAACACAGTGTTACTCCTCCTCACTGTATCACCTGTGCCTGACAATTTCTCCTGTATCTGAAGGTCAGTTTGACAATTTGCTTCTGGTATCCCACCAGTAACAAAGCTGCTTCACAACAGGCTGGAGCTGTCATCAGTGCTGGGGATACTCAAGGCATAGAAGTCCCCAGGCTGTACTTTCCTCGTGTCCTCAGAGACTTGAGGAGACTTGTACCAGGGCAGACAGGAAGCAGAGATGTTAAATAAACAGCAGCTCTCCTGAAACTCATTATTTTTTGCCACAATTGCACTTTAAATTGAGAAGCATGATACACAAAACTTTCTTTCTTTCTTCCTTATTTCTTAAAAATATTCACCAATACTTGAGTGTTTCAGGGACCACCCCACTCTGATGGATGCACACACCCCTCCTATTTATAGCTTACCTGTCTTCAAACACCCCACCCTGTGTAGATACCTACTTTGTATGATTCTTTGGTAGAGAAAATAATTTTTTATTTTAATCAATGCTTTTGGCAATGACTGTTAATGCATCATAGAATGAGATGACAAAAGCCTTTGTGTTCCTAACTACTGTAAGTAAAAGGCTGGAAGATACTGTGAAATTTCTGTTTGGTCTTAATAAAATGCAGCTTGTGAATTAAAAACCATGAATTAAATGTGTATTATTCTCTGAATGAAATAAACTGTTTTAAAAGCCAAAATATTCTTGATGTAAACAAAAATGAACATAGATTGTGTTTGGTATCCAGGCACAAAACATAGCTGGTATAAACCTGTCCTAGACTGATTCCTTGTTTCTCTCTGCTGATTTCCTCTTAGCTTAAGTGGATGACTACACCATGGGCACAGGATGTTCACTCCTTCAAAAGACTGCTGAAGCTATCTTTCAGACTTCTTGCTGTGACACAGCTTCTTGGTAATTTCTTTAGTGCACATTCTGAGGACTTCATGGGACTTTTACAGCATAGTCAGCAGTCCCAGCACAGTCTTGAGCCCATGACTCTGTCCACTCTGTTGAGCCATCTTTTCTCTTCTGACACAAAAGGCAGCAGCACATCCCCAAGCTGCTGCCTTTCACTTGGACAACCAGAATACTTCCTGTGACATGAGCTACCTAACCTGTCTTTCAAACTTTGTAGGACTGTGGAAAAAAACCCACAAATCCCCTTATTGCATGATGGTATGGTGCCAAGTGTTCATTTACAGATTATGTGGACAAGCATGGTACAGCATTGTATGCAAAATAAGCATGAATCCAGGCTCCTGCGAACTTGTGGGTTTAGCTTTTGACACTTCAATCACCTCATTAATATTACTAAGGAGTTGTGGAATATAGAGAGAAAAATACCAGTTGAGTGTTACGGTAACTTTTAGCATCTCAACAAAGAAGAATTTCCCAACCTTGACTTACTGCAAAAGCACAGATGAATAAAACTTCATTCATGTTGTCATTACCATCATTTTCAACAACACATGTGCCTCATATTCTGAGAGTAACTCGTGTGGCCCTTTAAATGCCACATCTTTTCCATGTCCCATGTCAACAGGCCCTGCCCCATTCAGCAATGGGTTCACACTTTCCCTGTGCTCCTTTTGACAGTTAAGCACGTACTGAAACCATTCTTGTTGCCTTTGACATCCTTCAACTGATTCATCGCCAGCTGGGCTTTAGCTTTTCTAACTGCATCTTGAACAGGGTTGCTATATTCCTCCCACACCACCTGTCCCTAATTCCACCCTCTGTACACTTCCCTTTTGTGTTCAAGCATTGCCAGGAGCAGCTTGCTCATCCATGCAGGCTTCCTGGTATTTCTGCTTCACTTCCTGCTCATTGGGATGGACTGTTCTTAATCTCAGAAGAAATGATCCTTGACTATCAATCAGCTTTCTCAGATCCCTCTTCCCTCTAGGGACCCCATCACATGGGACTCCTTCAAGCAGATCCATGAAGAGGTCAGTCTTCAGATCTCTTTGATGTTTATTCCATTAAACATAACCGAATGCAACAGTTTAATTTTCTGGTTTTGTCCTTCTGAAATTCTCCTGTCTTCAGGAAGTTACTATCTGATCCTACACATCAGCTTTGGTATTTAGAGTGTGATTTTCAAACAAAGGGTTAAATAAAAACCAAAAAATGCATACTTATGGCAATCCAGCCAAGGTTATTTTATAATTTTAGCATAATTTTCAGATGCATGAAACAGTAAAAAATGGATGCATTTTCTTATCTCCCTTTGCCCTATTTCCCCATAATTCTTTTCTGGAGAGGCAAGAAAAAGTTTCTTCTGTCTGAGCCTAAAAAGCTCTGCTAATGGGCCAGTTTTTCTTGCTTTCCCACGTGTCCCTCTGAGTCCTGCTGAAAGTTTGCTGTCTTTTTTTCAGCTATTTTATTTCACTTGATTGTGGAGCTGTCTTCCTCTGCTCCAGGATCTCTTGACAACTTTTGTACACTTCTATCAAGCAGTCCAGTCGTGGCTTGGAGCTCTAGAAGTCAAACAACAGAGAATCAGGCTCTGAACTGAAACGCCAATTAATTTTACCCAAACAGCAAACAGTGGTCAAAGTACAATGATTTTTCAGCAATTCTAACCTGGACCAGCTTAAAACCAGCAAGGAAGTGAAAGTTTCACGGTCCCACAGTCCCTATGATCCTGTAACTTTTGAGCTCCTGCAACAGCATTACTGTGTAAAGTCCATCAAATGCCTCCTTGCAAGAGCTGCTTGAGAGAACAAAAGGTCAAATCAGTGCAGTAAGGCTCCTGGGCTGAGTGATATGGGAAATTGTATTTTTGAAGGCTGCCATAACTTAGAGAAACCCAGTGAGGGAGACACAATAAAGGTACTAATCATTGCTCCTTCAAAACTAACATACTAACTTGCATGTTAACATAATTACAGACAGGCACTGCATTTCAAAATGAAAGAGTTCCATACCTTCTATGCTGCTGGAGTCAACTCTACCAGTGCTAAGATATTTCCATGAAAACCAAACTGGTCAGAGTTGAATGGTAAAAAAAAAAAAAAAAAAAAAAAAAGAAGAGAAACAATACAGCAATAGAGATGCCAGGCAGACCTGGAAAATTAGTTAGACCATATCTAACTAGTATCAGGTACTTGAATGCAGCTATCTGGAATTTAGTAGTTGTTGATTTCCAGCAAATCTACTTTTCCCCTTGTTTATATGTGAAATATCTAATTTATATTACTGTTACTAAAGATCTTTACAATTGTGGGACTGAGTTAGCAGAAAGTGTAAATGGAATACACTATTTGTACTCCTAAGTATTCAGACTGACTGTATCCAGTCACAAACTGATCTGTTGGCAGATTACAAAACAGTCACCAGCAGCAGGTGAATTAAGGACAGAGAGGGCTCTACAGCTCAGCAGTCTAAGAAGTGAGGTACCTCTGTGCTGCTTACCACCCCTCATGGATAAAGGCACTGTTGTGTTAGGCATGAACACACACAAAGCAAATCCATTCCAAAAATGGGATTATGAACAGTCAGAACACATTAGTGAGAGAAGAGAGAGGGGAGACGAGGTAACAGCAACACAAACAAGTTATGATACATTAAACAAATTGGTCACTGCTTGTACCATGATCTTTGTCAGCAGGGCAGGCAGGGGAAGTCATTCCAATGCCAAGGAGGATTTATGAGAACTTTTGGTACACAGAGCTAAGGGAAAAGTCAACTGCAGCACAGTGCCAGAGTTATGGTGGTAACTGAGCACAGGACTGCACAGAAAGCTCTACAAGTCCTCAGCACCCTATGGGAGCCAAAGACTTTTAGTTCATGCAAACTCCTGGCTGGGTTCAGATTGACACAACTCCCTGCTGTTTGAATGAAGAGCAAATAAAAAAACCCATCCCCATTATGTAGTTCTGTGAGACTTCAAGTGCCACCCACCCTGACAGCCCAGCCAGGGAAAGGCAAGTGTCACCAGCTACTGTAGCGGAATAAAAATATGCTTAGACAACTGATGCACACACAGAGACCACCATCTGGATCTCTCCACCATTCAGTCAAACTCACCTGAAAGAGTGGCACAACCTCAGATACTGCCTGAGGATCTTCAGGGTCCTGGAGGAGGATACAAAGGTAGTAGATAACTTTTTGCTACAAGACAAACAGAAAAAAGTCATTGGAGTATAAAAATGCTATCAATCTGCCTGGAGTTAGCACAGGAATAGGATGTTTCAACTCACTGGGCTGAAGGCAAATCCTGCCAGGTCACAGTCAAATCTACACATTTTTATCAATAGCTTTCACTCAATAAAGAAATCATTTTGCCTGTTTTTTTTCTATTAAGTTTTTAACCTGAAAGAAGACACCCATGATGGAAGGGTAAGGTCTGCTTTTCTACAGGAGCTTTGTAGAAAACTCCAGCAACAGGAAAAACGATTGTTTGTGTTGTCATAGCTTCTCATCTCCATCTTGATTGCATATGGAGCTGGACATCAGGATTTGTAAGAACAGCATAACAGAAAGAACTAAACCCATTAGCTCAATGCCAGTGGCATTATCCAAGGGATGGATTTGGCTTTTTGAGGTTATTTGTTTGGTTTGAGTTCTCCTTTAAAGGTGAGAGATGACAGAATAAGGAGAAAAATCTGAAATAAAGCTCCTGATGCTAGTACATCTGTGGATGGTGCTGTGTTTAATTGCTCTGGTAAATCATGCTCATGAAAATACACTGGCTGTGAGTGTGCCCAGACACAAGAAGACAGACTTTGTATGATTACCATATGGATGGCTTCATTGATAACCACATCCTTCACTTGACCCATCTCAATGAAGGTTGTGCTCTCTTTCCCTGAGGCGTAGGCTGAAGTCACCTGAATGCCGAGTGAGCCGATGACCAGCAGGGATTCCTGGTCAATCTTCACGAAGTGCAGGTATATGATCAGGCCGAGCAGTGTGATGAAGATGGCAGCAGAGAGCACTATGCTGTTCTGTAACACAAGCCAAGAAAAGGCAGAGCTCTGGTACTACAATCACTTTAACACAGCTTTAGAGAAAGTAAAACTGCACAGTAAATTGTATATTAAAGCTACAGGTGCAAAGCATTTTTACTTAGGTAGAGTCATTTTATTCACCTGACTGGCTGATATATATGTAGTGAAGTTTAAATCAGTCTTTGCTGTATGCACTTAAAGAATTGGGAGCTGAAACTAAAAACTGCAAGAAAATTCTATTTCCTTCCAAGTTCAATGCAGAAATCTCAATCCAAACAAGCCATTTGTGTCAATGAGAGTGTATTATGCCAACTTCTAAAGATGATGTCACTGACAAAAAAGTGTTGTGAAATGTTTACAGGAACCAAGGGTGGATTTTCACAGTGGAGGAACCTGCCTTTAGGATAAACACTGCCCTGGTGGTTTTCTTACTATGAACTGCCAGTCTAAACTTGTTCAAACCTCAGCCTCTTTTTGCCTTAAATACCAATGCAAAGAAAATCTGCTTTATCCTGTACTTTTTCTAAGGATCAATGTCTTTTGCATGCTGCAATCCTGAGATTGCTGTTACATTTTAACATATAACTGATGACACTATAGTCCCCAGTAAGTCATCTGAAGACCTGGTAATAAATTCTAAAGGTCCAAAACCTACCATCTGTTTCTGGTACATGTTTTAGAGAACTCCAGGCCACCTACCCACTAATGAGAGTTATAACAGACACTTCCTAAAGAACTGCACAGCCCCGCCATTCAAGCTGGGCCTTGTGAGCTATGTGAGCTAAAGAAGCCATGGCTTCAGGAAGTATACAGGAAGTATACCACCATGTGAGCTAAAGAAGCCATGGCTTCAGGAAGTATACAGGACTTCTCCAAAAGTTTGCTATCACAAGGGAAAAAAACAGTCATGAAGTACAAACAGTGAAATTCACAAAGAGAGAGACTTTCAGACCTGATTTCCTGGCAAAAGGAAGAATTGCAGTCACTTGCATGTAGGCTGCAGGAGTGTGTGTAAAGGCAAGCAGGAAGGCAGTGGGTGGTAACCCACTGTATGCTTTCAGAAAAAATGAAACTCAGACATGAGCCATCTATTCCAGTCTGACTCCTCACAACTGACTTATAATGCAATCTCTATCTTAATTTCTTAGGAAAGATTACTGAAAAAAACGGATGTGCAACAGTCAGAGCATGGGTCACAGTGACCAGCTTCTTTGGTTAAGCTACTGAATTCAGTCTGGACATAACTGATCTGGGTCCAGTTTTTGATAAATCCAAAAGCATTAGTTTAAATATCAGCAGATTTTTAAATCTGTACTGCAAACATCTTTCTGCCTCAGCTGTGAAAATTGATGACATTCATGGTACAGTGCTGAGTCACTCAGAAAAATTCCTTTTGGGGATTAAAAATCATTCACCTTCTTCAATTCCTTCTTAATTTCATATTCTCACAACTCATCTCTCCAAGTGAGCACGTTTTATCTGGACTCACAAGTATGTGCCAGGCATCACTCAGCACGCAGACATAAATCTGTATAAGAGGCTACAAACCAACAGAGGCACCCGAGAAGACACCGGGGCAAGGAGGTGGCAGCCCGCGGCCTTGAGGCTGGCACAGCTCTCCCTTTGCCAGCACTCCCCATCAGCTCGGCGTCCCCGGGGCGCGGGGGATGCCCGGAGCGGCGCTGAGCGCCTTCCCACGGGCTGCGGCCGCCCTCCCTGCCCCGGGCGCCGCTAGCCAAGGCCGCCCAGCCCGCGGGACTCCCCCGGTCCCCCGGTGCCACAGCGGACACGGGCTGAGGGGCGCAGCCGAGCCGGGCCCGAGCCGCGGAGGGGCCCGAGGGCGGCGGCGGGGCCGGTACCTCGCAGAGCGCGAAGAGCCCGTAGGCCGCCAGCCAGACGGCGGAGGTGGCGGCGCTGAGCGAGCGCAGCTGCAGGCGGGGGCCGCGCACCGCCAGCTCCCGGCAGGACGCGCTGTGCTGGCGGCGCCGCAGCGCGATCGGCACCCCGGAGGCCGAGAGAAAGCGCCGCTCCTCCGCCATGCCGGGCAGGCGGGGCCCGGGCCGGCCGGCCTCCCGCGGGAGGAGCCTGAGCCGACGGCCGGCTCCGCGGCTCCGCTCCCTCTCTGCGGGCCGCCGGCCGGTGCTGCCAGTGGGCTGTCCCGCTTGATGTACCTCGCCAGGCGTCCGTCCTTAAACCCGATGACATCAGCGCTTTCTGCGGTTTGCACATGTTGACAGTTCATTGCTTGCTCCCTCTGTTTATGGAGTCTGTGTTTTAAAGGGCACACGGTGTAGTGGGGCTGCACGTGTCTCTTAGCGTGATGAAGAGACGGAGGTTTTCATGGAATCACAGACTGTTAAGGGGTTGGAATGAACCTTAAAGAGAATCTAGTTCTACACCACTGCCTTGGAAAGGGACACCTCACACTAGACCAGGTTGCTCAAGGCCTTATCCAGCCTTGCTTTGAACAGTGCCAGGGTTGGGGCATTCACAACCTCCTCGGGCAACTTGGTCCAGTGTCTCACCACACACAAAGGAAAAAATTTCTAACCTATCCTAAATTTCTGGACCTAAATATCTAACCTAAATTTCCCCTTTTTCCATTCCTCCTTGTCCTATCACTACAATTCCTGATGAAAAGTCTCTCTCTGGCTTCCCAGAAGCCCCCCTTTAGATGCTGGAAAGTTTCTATGAGCTCTCCATGCAACCTCCTCTCCTCAAGAAGGTTCTCTTTGCCCCCTTTGTCCTTACCATCTGCAACTCCATAAATGTATTTTCTCATCTGTACCACACTTAGCTGCAAGGTCTTTGGATATTTTTTTTCCCAAGGTTTAAAGCAGAGTTTTCTGGTCCTTTGCCATCTAAATACGTGGTAAATTGGAGACTTGGCTTTGCATAGAGACTTAATGAGTCTTTGTATTGTGCTCCCTTTAATGCATTTCAGTTATTACTTCATGTGACTTACGTGGCAGTAATACAAAGCTACAGCTCTGTGGCTTTCAAACTGCCATCCTGATTTCTTTGGCATTTCTATTTTTTTTCCCTTCTACTACAGTTTTTGAGCGTTAGCTTTAATTGCAGTTGCCATCTTTCTGTGAGCAATTTACTTAATTCATGGTATTGTCAGAGCTCTTGGGTGGATACTGTATATATAAAAAACCTGTTAATTTGTTCTCACAGGGGCAGCAAAGGAGTCTTAAGAGACATGAAAAACCAAGGGGCATCAGAGAATCACGACCAAGGTCTTTGCTTTGCCTGGAGGAGTGGCTGGTGGCTGCCATCCGTGGGAAGTCTTGTGCAGTATGTCCAGGATCTCACTATGACACAAGAGACCAGGTGGACAGATGGGCTTTCCTCTTCTGCTGAAGAGGATAGGTGAGCTGGGCTGGAGGGGGAAAAAGTAACAGCAGACAATGAACTGCAGAAATGGAGAAGAAAATACTGAAGTTCAAAAGAGGATGAAAGAAGTTCATCAATGAAGTAAAAAAGGACAAAAACCCAATAAATTGAAAACTGGCTTTTTAAAGAGGGAAGAAAGGTTTGAAATGGCAGGTGAGAAGGACTGAAGTAAATAAACATGAGTTATGACAATTGATATGACAGCTTCAGAGGTGGGGACAGGAAGAAAGGGAAAGAAAAATCAGAGTAGGAGGTAGAAGAGGTAAAAGCACTATGAACAGCCAGGTCAGTAAACTGGACAGAAAGAAACGTGAGCTCCTGGAGGAGTGTTAACAATAATTCACATTCACAAGACATGGGGGAGTTACTGACATAGAGACGGGAGGAGAACTCGGAAATCTTAAGAGGAAAAAGCAAAACTGCTTGGATTTTTCTGTGTGTGTCACTGGGAACTCCCTGTCTAACCATTTTTTGTGCTCTGTCACGTCATGAACTGTAAGCTTGTCTTTCAAGCTTGTACAGAAAGACTGCACATTCGACAGTGGGAGTCATCTTGCTTTGTCACAGCAGGGAAAGATGGGGACTTTAATTTGTTTTTAACTCGTTTGTTAATCATCCTTCAAATGTGCCTCGAATAGGAACAGCTGGAGACCTCTGAGAATCGTCTCAAGCCACGATGCTCCGAGACCAATATTCGAGGCAGGTGCTGGATAGGTGGTCCTTCAGTGCTTTATCAAGGCCATCAGGTGATGAGCGCCACCCGTGTTTCTCCAGCGAAGCCACGGAGCAGCGTTCCCGCACGGAGGCTCCCGGAGCTCGCTGTGGCCAGCCAGGGAGCCCGGCTGAGCTGCTGCTTATCTGCGAGCCTCCGCCTGTGTCCCAGCGGGAAGAGTGCGACAGCGGGACAGCGGCTGCCCTCGACCTGCGGAGAGTGCGGCGGGAGGCCGTGAAGGGGCGGCGGCCCCGCGGGGCGCGGCAGCGCTGCCGCACCGGTGGGAGGCCGAGGCGGCCGCAGTGGAAAAACCCCGGGCGGCCGTGAGGGGAGCGGGGCGGGGCCGCGCGCGGGGAGGGGGGGGGCGGGACACACCTCCGTGCGCGCGCGCTGCCGTTGGCCGGGGACGCGGGGGCGCGAGGGGCGGGGCGGCGGCGCGCGGGGGGCGGCGCGGAGCGCTGAAGAGAGCGGGGCGCGGGCGGCGCGCGGCAGCAGCAGCAGAAGCAGCAGCATCAGCATCGCCCCGCCATGGCCTTGCGCGGGCCCCTCGCCCGCCTGCTCCGCGCCCAGCCCCTCACCGCACTCCCGCTGCGCCGCCGGGCGCACTCCGTGGCGCTGGTGGGAGCCCCGCTCTCCAGGGGCCAGGTGGGCATCGCGGGGGGCGCCGGGTGCCGCTGGGTGCCGCGTCGCCCTGCTATCCCTGCTCTCCCTCCCCGACGGGGCTCGCGTACCTGGCTACGGGCAGCGCTGTCTGACGCGTTCCCCTCTCTTTGTCTCGCAGAAACGGCGAGGAGTGGACCACGGCCCCGCTACCCTCCGCGCCGCGGGGCTGGTGGAGCGGCTGGCCGGGCTCGGTGAGCACTGCGCGGCGGGCGGGCGGGCGGGCGGGCGGGCGGGGGTGGCTGCGGGGCTGCCCGCATCGCCCCCTCGCCTCTCGGGGCAGCGTGACTCAGCCGCTCCCTGCGGCGGGGACAGACGGCTCCTGCCTCCCGGGACTCACGGAGCGCACCGTGCCCCGGCGATGCCCGCAGCCTTGCGGAGGTGCCGGCAGGGAGAGGCTCGTCGCATTTCGCACGGGAGGAGCTGCACGGGGCCCTGCGGGGGTCCCGGAACAAAGAGCGGCCGGTGGTCCCGGCTGCCCGGAACAGCGGGACGCGCAGCGAGCGCTGCACCGGCACACGGAGCGTGTGCTTGCTGCTCCCGTGCTGACTCCGGGAGAGCCGGGGAAGCGAGAGGCTCTTTGCAGCTCTGTGTGCGCCTATGGCATCCAGACAAGTGACTGTGATCCTCGGCATATCACACACTGTGGGCTTTGCCTTTTCTTTTTTATTCCCTTCTGTGTTTTTTACCAGGTTGTTCCTAAAAGATTCGTATGCTTCTAGGTGATGAAATTCAGAATTTTCTGGAGAAGTCCTCAGTTTTATGTATGAGGTCTCGTGTGAAGTCTTTGAAAACGCTTGCAAATACCACCCTGTGAACAGGCTGTTTCTGGTCTTTTTGTGCAAGCAAATCCATGCACTTAATTGTGATTCAGCTTCTCACATCTATTACTTCTACAAGCTGAGACCTGCAGAAAGCTGTACCACAGTTACTAGAAACAGGACACAAGGGATAGAAACTTGTAAAGCTGAACTGTGTCTTGCAGAATCTTTAATCTAAAGAATGTTACTGAAAATGGTGTGATGAGGATGGATTGCAGGGATGGACCACAGAAAGAACCAGTATCTGCTCCCTGGGTGGTTAGTGTCAGTGAGGATTAGATGCATAGAGAGATAATTGCCTAATAATCCTCTAGCAATTTTATTCTGAATTTAAGAACTCTTCAAAACAGAAACAATTGCTCTGTGCAGCCCTGTAGGCATATCCTGCATATCTTATGATTCACAAGCTGAAAAGTCCCAGTTGGCAGCCACATGAGTAGATACTCTTTTTCTCGCTTGTTTTGTGCAAAGTAGAGACACTTGCCGTCATTGGCAATACTTAAATTCTAGTTAGCAAGCGCTATAACCTCAGCAAACGTGCAAGAGGGCATCTAAAAGAGCTTTCTACTGGAATAGTTACTGAGCCTAAAGTTTATTTCAAACTAACAAATTGCTAGGCTTGAAAGGAGCATGCTCTTCTAAATAAGCCCATAGGCAGCAGATTATTTTGTATCAATGACAGAATTTTATACTGGAAGGCTTGGAGTTCTCTTTCAAGTGGTTCAGAGCTAATGTTTCCAGTTTGTAAGAATTCTTTGATGAAAACTCCAAACCCACAAAACCCAACAAAATTTAAAATTAGAAGAAGAAGCCCTCTCATTTGCCTGACACAAGCTCACTTCAATAGGAGCTTGTAGAAGGTAGAAAGAAAGGGAAATTTGAGCCCTTTCTGGATTCAGCATCAAAATGTTATGGGGAAAGAAATGAAGAGATGAAGCCAGCTAAACTAAATTAAACAAATACTTTGACTGCTTAGTTTCTTATGGGTTGTTTACTCATCAATCAGTTATGCACATGGAGCTATCTTCTTGCTGTTCCCTTACAATTTTTAGAGGCTCTTCCTTCTGCAGTTGCAGTTTCCTATTGCTGGCGTGTTCTTCCACTGGGGTGGGGTTGGTTTGTTTTTTAGGGTGGTGTTGATGTCTATTGCTGCTTAAATCTCTGCAGCCCTTTTAAGAACAGGTTCTGCTGTGAGGGCCCATCCTGCAACGATGGCAGTCACCAGCATGCACAGAGGAGTGGTTTGCAGTGCAAAGACAATCTGCTTGAGGGGAGGGTGCTGGATGGAGGAGGATGCTGCCATGTAGCCTTTTGTACTGTACACATTTGTTGTTCATGGAAACTTAACAAATTATTGTTTTTATATGTGGCCTGCTTATTTTTCTTCTCTGGGATGCCAGGATAGCTTTGGCTGCAGTACTGTTGTAATAGTGCCATTATTTGGAGT